GCTCCCCTGATACTTTTTTGAAAATTTTAAATTTTTCAATTTCAGTGAATGCCTCCTCGATTTTCATGCTCCCCTGATACTTTTTTGAAAATTTTTCATTTTTCAATTTCAGTGAATGACTCCTCGATTTCCATGCTCCCCTGACACTTTTTTGAAAACTTTGAATTTTGGAAAGCTCAATGAAAGTCTGAAGGAAAGGAAAGGACGAATGAATGACAGCAACACAATTATGTAAAAACATATTAATTTTTCAAGTGAGAAATCAGAGTCTCTCCGTTATCAAACTCTGTACAAATGCATCTACAAAGGGAAAAAAATCATAATCTAATGCATTAATAGTATCCCTTGTAGTCATATTCATCTGCACTATCAGCTATACCCTGATGAGCCTGGAAGAGTGCGTGGGGAGCAGATTGAAGGGAATTCCTGTGGATGAGAAGTGTTTGTTCATGATCAACGTCCTCATACTGGGTGGGTGGAAGGTACGCATCGTGTTGGACGATTTCTTCATGGCTGTCTGGCTGGATCTTGGCAGGAAGTGCTGGAAGGGCGGAGTGTCCATCCTCCTCTTCAGCGACAGTCAATCCTGGGTGATTGGCTGCTGCACTCTCTGCTGCTTGTGCGGCAGCTGCAGCAGCATTATTTTGCGCTTGTTGGGCAGCGGCTTGGGCCTTGTCTCTTGCTGACTGAGTGGCTTCGAAGTCAATTCGTGCGGCGTCCAGCTGCTCATCAATTGTCTGAGCTCGAGCTTTTGCCTGCCCCAGCATCGTTGTCTGCGCGGCGAGCTCAGCAGCAGCTTCCGCAGCAGCTTGAGATGCATGATCTGAACAATTTAGATATACATAATGATTAATTATGAGAACCCTCTAATATTATATCCATCATAGCCTCAGACACTTGTTTATTTTTTATACGAAAAAATATGCTAAAATATAAATAGGCCAATTGCTTTCCAAAATCCCACTTTTTCATCAATCAACTCCTCATTTCACTCACATTCGTCTCATGAATATGACGAAAACCCTCAAAGACGACAAGAATAAAAAAAAAATAATATTAAAAAACGGTTGGAGTTACCTTGAGTGGCTTGAGCGGCGTTGAGAGCAGCGGTGATGACTTGGACCTGGTGCATAGCTTGTTGAGCAGCATTTCTGGCTGCTTGGGCTGCCCTAGCCGCTTGTTCTAGCTGTCTCTTCTCTCCATCAATGGCATTGCGAGCATCAGCAGACTGCTGCTGCAGTCCAAGGAAGATAATTTGTTTGCCAGCGAATGCAGCATTGGCAGTTGCTGCACTCTGCGCTGCACTCTGAGCGAGTTGATTTTTAGCTACATAAGCGGCTTGACCAGCGGCGGAGTGTTGGTTACCGAGGGCAGTTCGTGCTTGGTCGGCTGAGCCTCGAGCTATGGAGACAAGACCACCTCCAACGCTGAAACCGGGTTTGGCAGGAAGACCGTGATGTGAAGGTGCAGGTTGACTGTCTGCACGTCCTATCGGTTGCACGTAGTCGCTCACCAGGGTGTAGTCACCCAGGGCAGCATCTCCATAGCCCGGTGCGTATCCTCTGGTTTTACGAGCGTCTTTAATTGGTTTTACACCGGCCACAGCAAGACCCACCAAACCCAGGATGACAATGAATTTCACGTACATCGTGGATATTATTTCATTAAATCTGTTGATTAAAGTCACATCAATTCGATTCAGTTTCATTCCCTCATGGACGCATGAGCATCGAAGGATAATCAGATTGTGAAGGTAAGAGCAATTATTAAATCTTAGTCACTAATTATCATTCCGCGCAAATTATCTTCACATAAAAATGTTACTGGAGTAGAAGGTAATCCTTTAATGCAATACAGCATAAATTTTTTTTTATTACTCACAGTGAAAAACAAGTGTGATGTCTTTTTTGTCTCTCGTGTCATAAAAGTAGTTTCTTCGTGTTAGAAATTCCGCTTTTAATATCAAGTAAATTTTTTTATTTAAGTAACCCAGTAAATTTGGAATAGTACGAATTAAAAAAAAAATTATAGAAACAGAGCGTTAAATATATTTTCTTTTCTATTTGCATTTTAGACATTCAAAAAAAATTGATGGAAAACACGGATTACTGGAGAAATAAAAAGATTCGATGATCTTTGAAGGAATGCTGAAACTTCATTGTCGTACCGGAAGATTGAGATCGATTGATGGAAGAGCAGTCATGATAATTTCTCTCCTTCATCGCTTGACTGATCACCCGGAGCGATGTCCGTGCCGAATTGAGTTTGATAGGTGAATGAGAAAAACCATGATAAGACAAAGAGTGAGGGAGCAACACCTGGAGAACCTAGTCTTTGTTTTTACCCCTTGAGTACTGGTGACAAGCATTAAAACTCGTTGAAAGCGGGTCCAGTCATGCGTAATTTTCGTATCGCGATTGGCGAATGTGATGCAATATCTGGCTATTGCATGTTTCTGAATATAAAATTTTACCATCGACATTGAACAATCAAATGATTACTTTTCACGGTTCCAATTAATTTGATTAATCAACCGTATCCTATTATGACTTTCTACTTTTAGATCGACTGATTATTGTGAAAAAATCGTAATCATTGAAGGATCGATATGAATGTTATCGAACTATTGACGCAATAATTTCATTGAGGATACCTTTTTCTGTTGCAATCAAATCTCTCAATGAAGCTCCATACGATCTGAGTTTACCAAAGATTTAGCGGTAAAATTATCATTAATAATCTCATTAATTAATATCAAAAATAATAATCATAAACTAAATAAATAATACACTGGAATGAAAATAACAGAGTCGATAATTGACGTGTAATTGTCCATTGAATTTCCAGGGAGTAAAAATAAGAGAACTAAATGAAATGACTCCGGTCGGTAGCAATTAATCAGCGATCTCTTAGTGAATTTCATTAGCCACGCCTCAATGAGAACAATTGGGGATGTGAATTACAGTTTTCATGAGGTGATTTAAATCACACGGACAATTGAAGTCGTCGAGTTACAACCATTCTCGTGCCAATCGTGACTGCAGCTGTTCTATTATTTTTAAAGAAACTATATCTCTTGCATCTGAACTGTACGTGTAAAAATCATGTATCATGTACGTATGAAAATAGTTTAGGTACCATGTGAATGTACAACTGGCCGGTTTGGTTGCGCTCTGAAAGTCATGTTTAACTCTGTTTAGAGGTAAACGAGCTCCCACCCTCTCTACCAAAGCAAAAATTTACATTTACCACGAGAAAATATTGCAATTTTATTTACTTATTGAATTTTTTAGCAAAGGCAGGTATCTCTGCCTTTCAAATCGCCCTGGTGAACATCGACCTTCTATCGGCGCTCCTATAACGCCATACATTCATTTTTCCCATTGGCTTCCACCCAAAATGTTCCACCCTTCACGCATTTTACTATGATAATGAACAATTAACAAGTGAACAATCCTGAAAAGTCCTAGAGTAATTCCCCTAAAGACTTACTCACTTCTTTTTACTGAATATTAATTAGAATATGTTTTATTCTTTCCTCTCGCTGCTCAATTCATTAATTATTATTTTCCATAATTGATATTATGATTTTTGTTAATTACTTACTAGTTTATTATACTTTATGAGACAAAAAGCAACCTTACAATTAAATGATTATTTAATAATGGGTCATTAGAGATCGGGACGGACATGAATATTAATTAGAGTAATTAATTCGATCCATAAAGTCTGGAGTGAGTCAATATTTTCATGGGGGTGAATCAGTGAAGGCTGGAGAAATAGAAATAATTGGATTATATTATTTGTGAGTGTACTTACCAATTGGAATATTGAAACTTCACTGTTGTAGCAAACTAAGCGTAATTCACACTGAGATATTACAGAATAAAACAGAAGTAACCCTTTCACGACGGATACAAGTAAGAACTGATTGGTGGCTGGACAGTCAATGGAGCTCTTATACCCGCGCTCCTCCAGTTTGTTCGGGCTTTCGTGACGAACAGAATAGAACAGAATAGAACAAATCAATGCCTCCGGCTGAGATTTCAATGGTCCTATCACTTATTCTGCTCATTTTAAAAATCCACAGGTTTCGCATTGGAATTCAATCCCAATAAGACGATTAAAAATCTCCAGCTAATTGCGATTAATGATCAAAACGCAAAGCTTTCTCACAAATTGCAGGAATCTCATGACCTTGGCATCACATCCTGCCCAGTCTCTGGTTTACGATTTTCCCTGGAAAATTATAAAATATACAAATAGTGTAAAAAAAGCTGTTAAGAATCTTCGCGATTTTTTATTGAGAAAAACTCAATGGCAAATGTGGAAAGTCGATAACGCAATTTATTTTTGAAAAATAAAAATTATTTCACAATGTATTGATTATTGATTTACGTAAAAAGATGAGGACCTGTAATTTCGGAAATTTATAAAAAAAAACAGTTTACAAAAAAGTTTTGTGATGCTTTCATCTTTGATCTAGTGCTTATTAGATAATTCGATAAAATGAGAAAATAGTTGATCTCATTGAATATTTTGTTCATGTGAATACCAAAACGAGTTGATGTAGGCCATAAATTTTTTATCGTTTCCATAATTTGAATAAAAAAAATTGGAAAGATCAGTTTCAGAACAGTCGTAATACTGCCCGCCCAAGATCCGGAATAGTTAACTAAGTATTATGTATATATTAGGGTACTAAGTAAATGTTCGAGTATGACGCACGCCCTCGCTCTTACTTTCACACGGGTCTCATTATCATGCAGGTAAATATAGAGTAGAGTGACAATAAACGAAGCTATGAAAGCAGCTAGAATGAGTTATGCTTGACTACTTAATTAATTGGTTCATATATCTCTTACATGATTTTAAGGAGTGACGACTGTTTTGCTGGGGAAAGTTGCGCCTCATCTGAATGTTTGGAAAAAAAATTTTATGACTAACTTCGCAGGAGAGATTGCTTCTCGGTTTTCGGAATGTCCAAGAGGGTTAATCAATTTCTTTGTGGTCTTTACTTAGGTAATTTCAATTCAATCACTTTCAATAGTCAGAAAAATATATCTATGCCAAGAAAAATTTAGTTTGGTTTTGAAAAATTGAACAGAAATTTTTTAAAAATAAATTCGTGAGTCGACATGTCATCGATTGAAATATATTTTTCGCTCAGTTATGAATTTTTTTAATCAAATTGTTTAATGATTCAATTAATCGTTGATATTTAGTTGTCCTGACGTTTGGAAATTTGAAATCTTTTGAAGCTGTTGGGGGACGAGTACAGGTAGGGCCTCGTATCGATATCGATTCAATAGCTCGTGATCGTAATGCAAGACCTCGGGTGAGTGACTTTTCTCTCCGGTAGACAATTTTTTTGGTCCATTGACCACAAAATACAACTGCTCCACGGGATTATATAATTGTCAATACCTCCTCTTCCACATCTATCTATTTCCTTTGAATCTACAGGGAGGCAGTGGTATCAGAGAGATTCGCAATGCAAATGAAAAAAATGATTCTGAAAAAGGCGACATAGCGAGTCATGCTGCACAAGAAGCCAAAGCTGCATCTGATGCTCAAAATATTGCTGCAAAACAGGCATCACATCAAGTACATAATTATTAATTGCTCCTAAAATTAATTCGTTGTATTTACCCAATTCTACCAATTTATTCAGTTGGTTGTATATTCATGAATTTTATAATTGAAAGTCATTCCAATTCTTTACGAAGGACGCTCATTTATTTATTTATTTTTAACAACTCATCGAAATTCAGACACGAAACTCTGAATGATTCACTGCTGTGATTTTTTTTTTCGATTAGGTAAAAGCCCAGCTGGCAGAGAAAGCGTTTCGTGCATCAAAGGCTGCGGAAGCGGTGCTGATTGGGAAGATAGCGTTGGTGGAACAACTAGGCGAGGAGACCAAGGAAACTCAGAGTGTCGTTCGTGAAGGTTCTCTGGGTCTTCAAAGGGCCCAGGAGAATGTTGCTGCTGCTAACAAAGCTGCTAAAGACGCCCATCAACAGGTCCCTCTAATCCCTCCAATAAATCCTAATTATCTTAATTATGCAATCCCTGCCATTTCCCCTACAAAAGCAATTAATTAATTAATCTAATCATTTTTAAGCAGTGGACCTCAGGTCATTTGGTCCTTAATTGCAGCACAAGTTTATATAAAATTATTTTTTCTGTTTGGAAAATATGTTAATTAGATCGATATTTTGAGGCGTGCGGTGGAAACTGGGAAATCAAATTTGAGCAATGCCAGGACAGCAGCAGAGGGTGCTCGAAGATCTTTGGGAGAGAAGGAGCAGTTGCTCGTAGCAGCTAAAAAACGGGTTGACGAACTCAAAGCTAGATTGCAAAAAGCTAAGAACGATTTAGCGAAGACTAATCAAGCTGCAGTCAGAGCTGAATCTTCTGCAAGAGACGCTCGAGTCAAAGTCACTCATGATACCGCAGTGAAAACTTAGATTTGCCTCGATTATTCAAGATTTCATTGATTATCAAATTTTCTCAATTGTAATTCTTAATTGTAACTTACGAAAAATAAATATAATAACGAGATGACAGATCGACGTGTATAATTGTTTTTGCAGGATATTACTTAAATAACTTCTTTGATTTCAATTTAATCTTGTTCCCCGAAAACTATGAAAATATTTCTCTATTTGTATTTCAAGTTCTTCCACGAAAACCGCTTTATTGGCTATAAAAAATAATGATTAATAAAAAAGGAAAAATTGTTGTAAAAAAATAATTAAAAATAAATAATTTCATTATGAAAAAAATTGAAGGAAAAATAGGTGAAAACAATTGACATAGTTTATGACGAGCTGTCAATCTCTTTGGAATTATAGGAAACATGCGGCAAAAATGGATGAATGCAGTAATGATTTTTATACTGAGTTGGACAATCGGGAATTTAGCTCAAGAAATTTCGAGGAGTTCGCGCGAATTGAGTGAGGTATGTTAGATGAAATGCAAGAATCTACTGAGTAACAACTTATAGTGAACCCAGGGGACATCTTGTAATGGGCCTGAAAGTTTATCTCAGAAAAAATCATCGAAAATCGCGGAAAAAGCTGCTCAACAGGCGAAAGCTGCATCGGATGCGCAGAATATAGCCGGTGCACAAGCAGCCCATCAAGTAATCCATTAATTTGTTTATTTATTGGTTATTCCATAGATCTGTGAAGTAATTGAAGAAATATTATTCAGGTCAAGGCTCAGCTTGCGGAAAAGGCACTGGAAGCAGCGAAAGTCGTTGAGGTTGAATTATCAGGTATAGGCCGAATTATATCGATAGATTAAAAACAGAGTGACGTAAGTACCTTAAACGTCAATTCAGTAAAAGATCAGCAACAATTTAAACGTAATTCAAGGTTTTGGTCCTTACGGTTTTCTTTTATTAGAGATAAATTGTTGCTCCTCGATCGCTTTTCATTTTCTTTCAGTTTTTGACGAGCTGGTCATCACATTAATGCGAAAAAGGGTTCCACCCTCGAGTCTTATCATTATTCAGTGATTTTTTTCACAAATTTCAGGTGTAATTTTTGTACATCTCTTAGAAATTTATAAGAATAAAAAGTGGTTGGAGGATAGCAAAACTAATGGCTAAATAAGTTCGATTGAATTGATTATAAATTTTTCATATATTGATAGGGAAAGAAACTGTTGTGGCCCAACTCCAACAGGAAGTGAAAGAGGCGGAAGCCGTTGTGAGGGAAGAAATGGCAACAATTCAGCAGACGAAACAACACGTCGACCGATCTGTGCAAGCAGCAGGTCAAGCACAACAAGAAGTAAAACAGCTTATATTCTCATTTCTATTATAAAATTGTAGATAAGAAAAAAAAATGACAGAATTACAATTGTTCTAGAACCAATCACCTCAGATATTATTATTAATACCTTTCGTTGAATAGATTAATTCTATTTAATTATACCAATGACTCTAATCTTTATGGAAATCACTCAAGTTGAAGGCCTTGAATCAAGCTCTTCAAGCTGGCCAATCAAATCTTCAGAATGCAGAAGGTGCAGCGCAAGGAGCTCAACATGAGCTGATGGATAAGCATCACTTGGTGGATGCTGCTAAACACAGATTGTCGGAGCTCTCGAAAAGATCGAAATGCGTTAAGACCGACCTGGAGGAAACCCGTCAAGCTGTGCAGAAAGCCAATGCAGCAGCTCATCAGGCAAAAATCAATGCCGCCAGAAACAAGCGGTATCCACTCCTACCATCAGCAGGATAATTCATCGGAGCACCTCCTAATCCTGATGAACGGCCTCCTTACCATTTATGATTAATCATTAATTCTAATTATTTCTCATAAAATATAAAATCCGGTGGAACTCAATATTTCTGGGTATCTTTTTTTGTTATTTTTTTGTTATTTTTTTGTATTTTTTTTTGTATTTTTTTTGTATGTGTAGCAGGTGTAAGTAATTGGTATTTAGTAAGGGCTACCTCTGACGTTTGTTTCCATGGTAACAAACACCAGTGAAATTGCGTCAACCTGGTATTCACTTTTTACAAATGCAGAAGTGTCTCGAGCTCTAGATTTTCTTCATTCAATTGATAAAATGTCAGCGGCTGTGGATCCGAATATACCGCAGCGTGATGGCGATTCATTAGAATTCAAAAGTTGGAGAGACAGTGAGAAAATTAATGAGGAGAAAATGCAATCACTCAAAGTACTGGATCCGGATGATCCTCTCATGAGGAGATTTCAAGAGGCTTTGAGGAGTCATCTGCTACGAGTTGATGAGAGACTGACGACAGAAATTGCTGAACTGGTGAGGATTTTATCAACAAAATTTGATGATGATTATTCAATTACTAAAATTGTCAACGAAGGAGAATACGTTATACTTTTTTTTCTAATAATGACCATGCAGTTGCATAATCGTTTCGTGAGGATAGCTCAATTATATAAAAGAATGATTTTCGGATTAAAAAAATAATTATTCTCCGATGAATTATAAAAACCAGAGTAATTGAAAAAATTGCAAATATTTAACAGCAAGCGTCTAATAAAGAAGCATCCAGGAAGCGAGAAGAAAAGGGAATGGAAATGTATGAAGCACAACGGGAAATATCTCGTCAAGAAACATCGATGGAGAAGTACATATCATCTTTAGAGGATCTCAAAAAATCTCGCGAGGAGAATCAATATCGTTTAAAAGAGAAGAAGGAACTGCGTAATAAAGTTCGTCAAGAGGCGGACGAAGAGCGCCGGAGAGTTGAACAATTATCGAGAGAACTCGAGAGTTTATCATCTCAATGTAAGCATTTTGAGGAATTTGAAGTGGAAGTCTCAAACCATTTGAGTGTCTCGAAGCGAATGTCTGAGAAAGACGCAAGTGTACAGAGAGAATTGATTCGACAAAAACAGCAGGAGGACTATCTCCTTCTGAAATTGGAGGAGGAGGTTTGGAAGTTGGAGAAGGAGATCGAAGATCTGCGAAGACAACAGGTAACCAAGACTGAAGACAAAGTTACTGTTGGACAAACTATTTCGGATGCTGATGCTGATTTTGGAGCTCTGCAGAGAGAGAGGAAGGGACTTTTAACAGCTTGGAATCGAGTTGTTGCTAATATTTTGCAGAGGGATAAAATTAGTGAGGAGTTATCCACTGAAAGAAGGTATCAGTAAAGGATAAGTTTGATTCCAAAATTCCGATAAAAAAAGAACATACATTCGAGCAATTGGTACATGACTGATAAATCTCTTGAATTATTCAAACGCGTTTTAATTGGAATTTCCTCATTTTTACTTTAGTAAAATAAGAGAGTCCTTCAAGACTCTTCAGGTTCGACTCGAAAAAACTAAGAGAGACACTTCGAGAGAAATGGAAATAAACGAGAAATTAACTGGGCTGCAGACTAGATTGGAAGAGGATATCAGATGTAATCAAACAGCTATAGGAATGGAGAAGGATAGGGCCGATGTTTTGGAGTACAGGACAATTGACGTTGCGAAAATGCTCGAAAAAACAGAAGCCGATTACGACGCCGTTTCTTTCGTAATTAATCATTAAAAATATTCCAGGTGACATAATGTCAGACTTATATCTAACTTTATTGCTCTCCAGGAATTTCAAGGACTTAAGAATGAAGAGAGAATTTTGGATAGAGAGTCGGAGAAATTAGCAAATGAGAAGACCACTGTCGAGGAGGAATTATTGACGAAATTGAGCGACAAAGTCACTCATGACAAGACTGCTATGTATCTCAACAAAATTGTCCGAGAGGCCAAGGAAACCGTAAACCAATTTGAGCTGACGATGTTGCAAACTGAAAACCATTATGGGAGGAATTTATTTGAATTGGAGAAAATGAAAAATCTCGTTACAGCTGAGAAAGAGGACTTGGAGGAGCTGAGTAAAGGGAATATCCTCAAAGAGAAAGAGCTCAATCAAATAAAAATAGAGATAGAGAGGTCCGAGTTGAGTATCGAGAAGAAGCAGAAGAAAATTGCAGACTTGAATAGAGATATTGTGGAGGTAATCTTAATCCACTTCAAACTATTATAAATTCACATAAAAATGAAAAATGAAAAACATGAAAAATAATAATAATCGAGTTATTGAAAAGTCATCACAAAAATAATGGGATTTTATTTCTACAGATGATCAGAACGGGTGGAACGCTGGACACGACTACTCAAGATCTGAAGATTGTTTCTCTAGAAAAAAAAATTGACGAATTAGACGCAAAAAATCAAGAGTCCCAGAAATATTGGCTGCGTCAAGAGGGAAACATGGTGAATCTTAGTCAAGAACGAAATACTCAGCTGCAGGAGCTGAACCGTCTGAGCAGGCAAATAACTATAATGGAGCAGAAGAATCTGAAACTGGAGTACACCCTGGAGAAGGAGAAGAAAAACGAAGAGAAGATCGATAGACGAATGAAGGAGCTTCGCCAGAGATTGCTCCGAACCAACAGTCTCTTAGCCGAGAGAAAAGAATTGCGTAACAATCTGTTGGATAAAAATTTCAGCACTCAGGATGAATATGTGAAAACCCTCAGGGAGGCAGAAGTGGAATTGGTGAGACTGCAGACGGAAATAAAAGAGTTGAAAGAGGAAAAGGTGATGCTTGAGGAGAGGCTCTATGCCGCCCATCGCGACTATTTTTCTTGGGAGAAAAAAATGAAATTGGCTGCAGAGACATTGAAAATCATTAAGGAGGAGCGAAGCACTGGAGGGGACATTGCCATGATGAAGAGTGAAATTCATAAAATGGAAATGAGATTGTCACATTTGAGAAAGGCGCAGGAAAAAATGATCAGGGATATGGAGCATTGTGTTGCGAGAAGGGAAGTCATTATTGATGGGGCCCTCACCAAGGAGAAGAAGAACCCCAAGGGAATTCATAACAAGAAGGTGATAATGCAGAAGAGGATGGATGATCGAAAAATGAAGATTAAGCAAGTGACGAAAGTAAGTTTTCCATTTATCCACTGATTATTGAATGAATGGGTCTTCCATGTGGAGAAATTAATAACGTAATTATGAATATGATAGGATACGAAGGCCATGGAAAATGCTGTATCAGAATTAGAAACAGCTCGAGCGAAACTTCAAGCGGAAATCGACGAAAATCGAGAGCTCCTCAAGTCTTATCGAGACGAAATTCCTGATATTGATCGTCAAATTTCAGAGGGGGAACTTTTGAAAAATCATGTAAGCCTAACAAAATGATTACTTCACAAGGTTTATACCGTGCATTATTCGTGCACTTGCATTATTTCCAGAAACTCGAATGTTTAGTCAGAAAGCAAAGAAAAGTGCGAATGTTACAAAATGTTCGCGATGGTAAATACAAAATGCTATTCAAATCAGAGACAACCTTGAACGATGAGCTGGAGAAACAGAGGACTATGAATGTCCAGTTGTCGGAAATTATGGAGGAAACAAATCGAGATTTCCCTCATCTGAAGGAGGACATCAGGAAAATTATCTTGACAGTTCAAGCCACGTAGTTTTTGTAACACTTTTAATTACTTAAAATAAATTATCATCTAACATAAGTCACATTACATTATCCACCTCACCACGTGGTAGTTCTTCTTCCCGACTCTTACTAAAGTTGTATTGTTTGGTAGGATATGAATTCCAGGAGTGATTACTTCGTTGACATTCATGATTTTACTGTGGTTTATGTAGAATCCACCAGCTGAGATAATTCTTTGAGCGTCATGTGGTGTTTTGAAACAGTTTATCTTCATAGCGAGTCCGTAGGTTGTGATTCCAGGCTCAGGCGCTAGTTCTGATACTTTGGCACCCTCGAAGACATTGATCAGGTCATTAACACTCATCTTTGAGAGAGAGTCGAGGGAGTTTTCGTAGAGGACTGCAGAGGCTTGCTTAGCCGCATGAAGACCTTCCTCTCCATGAACCAGCAATGTAACATTTTCAGCTAATATTCTCTGGGCTTCTCTCTTTTCAGGCGCCTTATTTTGTCTATTCATGATTTGTCCAATGGTTTTCAAATCCAGAAACGTAAAGAGTTTTAGAAAATTCTCGACATCGGAATCCATAGTCCTGATAAAAAACTGGTAAAGATTGAAGGGCGAAGATTTCTCCGGCGACAGCCACACGGCATTCCCCACAGATTTGCCGAATTTTTTACCACCCTCAGCAGTGATCAGAGGGAGTGTCAACCCAAACACCTGTTGCCCCGTGGCTTTCCTCACGAGATCGTGTCCAGACATTATGTTCCCCATCTGATCATTCCCCCCGATTTGAAATTTACATTGATAATGTTTGAAGAGGTACAACCAGTCGTACCCTTGGAAGACTTGATAACTGAACTCAGTGAAGCTCATTCCGGTTTCTGAATTCAATCTGGACTGTACGGAACTCCTTCCCATCATCGTCCCCAGTCTGAAATACTTGCCAATGCCTTTGATGAATTGAATAACATTTAAATCTCTGTACCAGCTCAAGTTATTCAGAATAATTGGAGTCTTGAGTGGCTCGTTATCCTTATCAATCCAAAAGTGAGCCTTATGATATTGAAAAATAGTTTCAATATTTTTTCTAATTCCCTCGATGTTCTGTTGAATCACTGCTGCGTTCATTTCATCTCTCTCTTTCGTTCTGTGACTGGGATCCCCAATTTGTCCAGTTGCTCCCCCCAGAAGAACAATAACTTGATGACCTCCTCGTTGCCAATGCAATAAGTTCATGAGGACCAGTAGGTTTCCTACGTGGAGGCTTTCAGCCGTTGGATCAAAACCCGCGTAAGCAGTTTGAGGAGAACCCACTAGTAGAGCTTTCATTTCAGGACTGCATGAAAAATTTTAATTCAATAAAATTTCAAACTATTTCCATTTGTTTGAATGAACAAAAATCAAAACCCATTCAATCCTCATTAACATAAAAACTGACGGATATTACGAGAATTTAGAGTTAATCACGTCCCATCATTTACTCGGAATTTCATACCCAGCGTTTTCTGGAAACATCTCCTGGAACATACCCCTGTCATGAAGGGATAGTATATTCCTGTTTGTGTAATATCTCTGGTCAATCCGTAGGACTGATTTGCCGGTGGCACATAACCTTAAGGTGCGACTCCAACTCATGTTCAATTATCTAGAAACCGATCAATTAAATCATTGACTATCTACTTGCATTGGATCTTCAAGCTCATTAGTACTTGAATCAGATGCATACGACCTTTTGACATTTGTCTGTCTTTATTTAATCTTTAGGAATGAAAATAGGAAATTAGTGACTTACACTTACATTCAATGAATGGAACCTGATGTTTTTTTAATCAATTGCCTTTCTTCTTAAAAATAGGCGACTCATTGAGATCCATTCATTTAGTATGTCAACAATGTTTACTTTGAATGATTTTTTAGTAATTGCTGGGTTGACTCTAACCACGTGTCATTCCTCATTGGTTCAGCTAATTCCTTCAGGAGCAGCCGAGACAGCACTAGGTGCTGGAGCTAATGAGAAAACAGAGAAGAAAAATGGCGAAATTTATGCGACAACCAAAGGTGAATGAAACGGAATCCCGACACTGACTTCAGTTGTCATATTAAAATTTTTATCACGCATGTGTCATCGCAATTATTTCAGTACAAATAAACCCAAAGAAAAAAATGGTCAATGATTAATTCAATTCGGATTTTCAAAATATGTGGAGTACAAAGTCTGCAGATTGTAATAAAGGGTTTGAGTCAAAAGGTCCTTTTCCGATTCAATTTGAAAAAAAAAGGTGAAATCATTCGAATCTCCACTGGTCAAGTAAAAATTGAACACATTACCCTTCAGAATTGAATGCTGTCTAAATAATTCTCGAATAACAAAGACAAATGACAATTGTCCCAACTAAAACATCAATAAAAAAATGACATGAGTTATTCAAGTGTTACGACAAATTTCTCGGGTTCTTCATAATAAAATAGAGCGATGGAGAAAACTGATGATTTGAGAGGGAAGGAAGGAAGAATAAATATTCAATTGAATGAAATTTATTTCCTCCGATGTTAGAAATGCTTGATCTTTTTGGTTTAAAATGAGCCCCAGGTTAACATCCCCCAATAAATTTGACATAATACAATATAATAAATAAATAATGAATAAACATATATAATAATAATAATGAATAAAAAAATGAGTGCGAAATGAATGTTTGAGATTGATGGAGTAATTGAAGTGATTGAAGCAGTTGAGTTCCGGTTCCGGCGGTGAAGTAGAGGAACTAGAGGCAGCAGTGGCGATTGAAAACGGACCACGGGGACCGCACGCGGACGTATATACCATACGCGTGTGCAGTGTGCGCGGCTATTAACCCAGGGATATAATAATTATTTTTTTAAAGTAAAGAGTAAAAAAACCTATCAAAGCTATTTGTAATAGTCCCTTAAAACACAATATACGTACACATACAGTTTAAATAACCACTATATTGTGAATAAACAAGTAAGTGTAACAGTGATAACGTTAAAACACTGATAAATATGGCGAACAACGTAGCACCAGACTCGTGGGAACAGCAGGCGGACAATGGTGATACGACAACTGCCGACAGTAATTTTATCGAGGGTAAATTTTCAACATTGAACGTTAATGCAGCGGAATTTGTGCCTTCCTTCTGCATAAATACTATACCTGATAAAACATCAACGAGTTTGCCAACGAGTGTTGACGACAGTTGTGTGGATAACAGTACCGGGAGTACTACAGGCGACACGCCAATTGGTGATACCAATACTGCTGATGTCGCCGTCACCACCTTTGTACCACCCGAGACTCATCATGGTTAGACAATTCAATTCACAATTTTCTATTTTGCATGGCTCCCATCCATTCAATTCATTAGTATTCTCCTGAATTCTCAATATTTTTTCAACGCCAACACGCTCCCATCTCTGGACATTGCACGTCTATAACCCCATTCTTTCCACACGTCGCCCTCTGCTATACATTGATAACCTGAATGACGATGATATAGCTGGTTATTTCCAGTTTTTCATCTTTTCAATGTCTCTCACTCCATCCATGTGTATGGAGAAAATTCAATCCCTTCACTTACAAATAACTCTAGCATTCACTATTGCCATTCGACTAGAAACTGCAGTGAAATTTCCAGTCTATTCACTCGGTTCTTCATGGAGACATTGAGACATCTGTTGCGGGTGGATTTGATGACGTATTCGGTACAAATGGGGACTGACCGTCTCAAGGTACCTTCTAAGAGGGTTACCACACATTCGATACTTTTTTTCTCTCATTTTACTCTGGAAAATGCTGATAGCATCCAGAAATAGAATGGTACTCAGTTGGTTACATCCAGTTCTCTTTACTCATTACTCTCTCATTGTTCTTCGGAACACACACACTTTGTAATCAATTCCGCTTCGTGAATTATGTGAAATAATTATCGTCTAGCTTGCCTTTTGTGCGTGCCGATTTTTCACCGTATGAGTTTTTTTTTTCGAGTTTTATTCCTGTAGAGAGCCCACTAGAATCTGCTTCGACATTCGATCATGGTTGAAACTGTGCCAAATTAGCAAATTGATGTTTTTTCGCTTACATTTATTCAGATAAAAGAGGTTGCAGAAAAATGACCGTTCTCTTTCTTGCAGAAAAATCGGATAGTCTGCGAAACGGATGGCTCTATGGAGTCCCTAGTTTTGCAGTAATCTCAAAGATTTTTTTTCCAGGAAAAAGAATAGAAGTTGTTCTGCTCCCAGGGAAAACACATGATAAAGACTATCTGAATTACAGCTGCAACTGTACCAGCTCTGCCACCCGATCCTGTCGGCAACAGGATGGAAGAGCCACCCGCAGGCGGGGGTGCACCACCGCCCAGTGTCACCGATCCAGAGGCCAGCAACAGTAGCCCTGAACATCAGCCAGCTGATTCGTGGGAAGAAGCTGCTGTCGATGGCGATCCATTACTAACACCAGAGAATGAAGAAGTACGTTATTATCATCACCTACAAATCCACTTGATTCCTGCAAGAGAATGTATTCTCATAATTTATCTTTAAACACAGGCTGATATCGAGGAGGATGAAGAAGCGGTTGTGAAAGTAACTAAAAAGAAACCTGTCAAAGTAACCGAGGATACTAAAAGTAAAAAGGAGCACGTCAATGTGGTTTTTATTGGACATGTGGGTGAGTCGGATGGTTTTTTTCTCTCTCTCAACCGGGGCAAATGGAGTGGTGGTATTTGTTTAACTGAATGAAGTAAAAATTATGATGTTCAAGGATAATATTATATTCTGTTCTATTGGAAGAATTGTTTGATATTGAAGATGGCGCAATGTAATGTGCAGGTGCATTATATGATTTTGTTTGTTGGGTGTGTTTAGACGCTGGTAAATCAACAATTGGTGGTCAAATAATGGCTCTAACAGGTATGGTAGACAAGAGAACACTCGAGAAATACGAGAGAGAGGCTAAAGAAAGAAGCCGAGAGACGTGGTACTTGAGTTGGGCTCTCGATACCAATCAGGAAGAGAGAGAGAAGGGAAAGACAGTTGAAGTTGGCAGAGCGTACTTTGAAACTGAGAGAAAGCACTTTACTATTTTGGATGCACCAGGACACAAGAGTTTTGTACCAAACATGATTGGTGGTGCAGCGCAGGCTGATTTAGCTGTACTTGTTATATCAGCGCGAAAGGGTGAATTTGAGACTGGCTTTGACAGGGGCGGACAGACGAGGGAGCACGCTATGCTTGCTAAAACAGCTGGTGTTAAGCATCTTGTAGTACTAGTTAATAAAATGGATGATCCAACTGTTGAGTGGGATGAGAAGAGATACAACGAGTGCAGAGATAAAATTCTACCTTATCTACGCAAATTAGGATTTAATCCGTCTAAGGATCTCACATTTATGCCGGTATCGGGACAATTAGGAATTGGATTGAAGGATCCTATTCCAGAGTCACTGTGCACATGGTACTCGGGCCTACCTTTCATACCTTTCATCGATTCCTTGCCGTCGTTAAATCGTAAGAGTAATGGACCATTCATCATGCCAATTGTTGATAAGTATAAAGATATGGGGACGGTGGTCATGGGAAAGGTCGAAGCTGGTGAGGCGAAAAAAGGACAAGCGTTATTAGTCATGCCAAACAGGGTAATTATTTTCATTTTTATGTTTCTATATTTTATTTATGTTTGTAATGGTTCAAATATAATGAAAATATTTCTGTACACAAGTCCACTCGTTGTTTTAGCAATTTTTTGTCTCGGAAGCTTTGAATTTCAATTATTGTTAAATCCATAATAACATCTTGCAGACAGCGGTTACTGTGGATCAACTGTGGTCTGATGACGAAGAAGTTACATCAGTTGGACCTGGTGAAAATGTGAAAATAAAACTAAAGGGTATCGAGGAGGAAGACGTCAGTCCTGGCTTCGTCCTCTGCGACGGCAATAATCCCATTAAAACTGGCAAGACCTTTGATGCCCAGGTTGTCATATTAGAACACAAAAGCATTATCTGCGCTGGTTACAGTGCAGTTATGCACATTCATTGCGCAGCGGAGGAAGTCACTGTCAAGGCACTTATATGTCTTGTTGATAAGAAAACTGGTGAATATAGCAAAACTCGACCGAGGTTCGTTAAACAGGATCAGGTTGCTATTATGAGAATAGAATGTGCTGGAGTTATTTGCCTTGAAAAATTCAAACTATTTCAACAAATGGGACGATTCACCCTCAGAGACGAGAGTAAGTATTCTAATTTCATTAACTATAATCCCTTCTAATAGATTTTATTCTTCAGATTTCTTCCATTTGTTTTCTATTGCAACGTATTTTCTCAAGAGAATTAGCTGCCTTCTATATTAAACATACTATTATATAGGTAATGAAGCTTCTAAAGAAATAACCGGATTTCGATATAACTAATTTTCTCCTCTTTAACGATAAATACCTAATTGCCATAACTGTTAAATTTTTCTCATTACGTTTTACTAATTCGTTATTGAATGCAAAAAAAAATGCTCTAAGAACTTTCACTTTCAATGGAAGGCAGGTAATCAAAGTCATTATCTCCTGGAAAATTATCCAAATGATTCTTGTAAATTTATCCTTCCAGTGGAACGTGTTTAAATATAAAGTGCAAGATCATTTTGCCGAGGATTTGATTTTTCCAACAACGCTTTTTTGAAATTATAGACGAAACTATTAAATTCAACCTTCCCCGAAGCTATCCCCAGAGCGTGAAATATTTTCTCTCAATTGAATGTACATCATTGAAATTCTGTTATTATTTGTTCCAGATAAAACAATTGCCATCGGCAAGGTGCTGAAGGTGGTCGAGTAGGAGAACCATCGAATTCCACCACTTTGCTCAACTTCGTCGATCGTAACTGCAGGTCAATGGCAAATGAGAATTTAAACAATAAATAGCAATATCACGTGTCTATGTTGATTGGCAGCAACACGAGAACAACATTAGCTCCTATTTAATTGCAACGATCCATTGAGCCGCAACAAGATGTTGCACAAATCAACACTAGCAGAATTGTTCGAATCAGTTGATCAATTTCAAAAGGAATAGTTTTGAAAATCATCTCTTATTTTATCCCCGAAGAGTTTTTGGGTAGTGGCATCACACTTTTACACACATTTTAAAACAAAAAATAATTGTGTTGCTATGACATCATAGTTGTTTCTATCCACTGCTCTCTTGTATTTCCTTCATACATTCGTTCTGCTGATTCCTTGTAGACAATTGGGATACGAGTTAAACAAACAATACATGAACGTGCGTGATTCGTTTTTTTTTTTTCAGAAACTCGTGAAAACTTGTAGTGGCAATTTTTTTATCGTGAAGTTTATGACGATTTAACGACCTCTCGCAAAGAGGATACCGTCATTATTTTCAATTTATTACTGTAACATTGAGATCTCTCACGCAATCCAGAATGTAATCGGTCCATCAAATATTTGAGGAGGATACATTTTTTTACGTGATATTCACTAAGATGAATATTTCCCTCCTATTCATACAATATTTCAATATAAATATTTTAAAAGTTCTTTTAGTGTAATTATTTTTTTAAATATTTTTCACTAATTATTTTGTTCATCATTATGAGAAAGATTCAGTCACGCACGTTCACTCACGCTTATATGTATCCCGGACTGCATACATCCATGGTTTTGTCACTAATTGAAACAACAAGTACTTTCGAGACATAAACGCGCATTTTGCAGACTCGATGACGGCCCTTGGCATTTCTGTGAGAAAACGAAAGATAGTGATTTAAAATTGCCGGCAAATCCTTATTATCCTCATTATCAAAGTAGAAACACAAAAATTAAGTTCACCCGAGTGGAAATGTCTCGAAACGCGTGGACTAATTACTCATTCGTCGACTCGAACCGCCAAATTCAAATTCGGCGCACAGAGTACGCAGTAAGTCTCGTAAATGATAATGTGCAAGCATACCAAGAAATGGTAATTAATAAAAACAAATTTGTGACGATATACTCGTTGGAATGGACATTACGAGGACAAGTGAGCCTCTTACACGAAGAATTAATTTCTTCTGAAACTCTCATTGTTCTTTTTTTTTCTATTTCTTAACGAATGTACAAGCGTACAATTATTAATTATGCATTATTTCTGTTCATTTCAAATAGCGTAATAGAAGTGAAAATATCCATTGATGGGAGAAACTCAATACGAGGAAGAAACAATTATAAAAAGGGACATTTTGTTTTTGTGTTGGAGAGATTAATAACTGAAGATAAATAATTATTATGAATTATTATATCATTATTCTTCATCATTAGTGCTAATATCTATTAAGAATTATTAAATTGGTGGGTAAGAGGTGATAAAATGAAAGAGAGAATCATTAAAATTAGTTGCAAGGGAAATTTTAAGTGAGCCAAAAAAATAACAAGTGATTACACAAAATACAAATAAAATTCGGCACGAAATCGAATGGTAAAACACGTCTTATGCAACAAGAACACCTAATTGAAATATTATTATTATTATTGCTGTATTATTATTATTGTACTGTTTCTTATTTTATTGCCATTAAAAACGAGTTTACGAGTTTTTGAGCCACGGCCCAGGAATCTTACCTTTACATCTTATTTGTATCAAATTTTTTTTTTAACTCATCAAGGTGATTTTTTTAATTTTCCGGTAATTGAAATTTCAAGGGACAAATGTAAGGCCTCAGAAGGTGAGTTTCCAGGAGAAAAACAATATGGATCGTATGTAATATACATGTAAGGATATATGCTTGAACACTCGACTTCCTTGTCGATACCGAACGCAAAAAAATATATTATTATAATGAAAAACCTGAAAAAGTTAAAAAAAAAAAAAACGGAAAAATCTGCAAGCGATGGATGAGAGTCAGAAGATGTTTTACTTGAGTTTGAAAAAGTGCTTTTAACAATGAATGATTAATGCTAACTAATATATGTAATAAACAATTTATGACTTGACTTAACAAATGAATTATCGCAAGAGATGATACGTTTTGCGTGTGCAGTTGTAACGAGGATACATAAAAGGGATTATTAAGAGGATGATAAAACATTTCTTAGCGCAGTGAAGCCGTTGGGAATTAGTGACCTACGGTAGTTACTTGTAAAAAATAAGGATCGGCAACGACCCCATTGTTACTATTAATTATTAATTAATAAGGTAGAAATAATGGATATTATTAATGAGGTAATTGAATATAATTATGAGGATAGACTGCGAGATGCTGATGAAAATATTAAAATCGATGGGAGACCCAGATCGGCATTCTCGCGCGTGTGATTTTATTGAAAGAGAAAAAATGAGTAACATTTAATGAAAATTCAATCGAAGATCATTAATCAATATGAAAAAACTCAAAAAGTTGATTGAGAATGGAAAAATTAAAATAGATGTCCAAGAGGCTTAGCGTGAACCACATAAATGGCTCGCGGTCACATTCATATTTTTATATAATATATCACATGCGCCACCATTTTTAATTAATTATCTGAGCCTGGCCGGTGGGATCCGTTGATCCTCCGTCCGTCGACCGGTGGATGTATAAAAAAGAATTTTTTAAAAATTTGGAGAAAACGGGACGTATCAGTCTCTGAATGGAATTCAAATAATTTTTATGGGCATGACGAACAAAGCATAATTAGATGATACATAAAAAATTTAAATCGCTTGAGAGAGTGATACGCGCAAGGCATTCTTAGAGGTGATGATAATTTTTGACAAGAAATGAAAATTCCCAGAATTAATTGAAATTCGAGAAAAAAAAAACGTGCAAAATAATAATAAAAATAAAACGATTGAGGTGCGTGTGCGAGAGTGCTCTTAATTGTAGGGTCAACATTTGTACGAGGGACATATTCCATTGCATAATTCATCATCGAGAATAATTTTCTCAATCAATGAAGAGCGCTTTTTGATCGAAGAGAAGTGCACGTGGATCCATAATCCACAAATATTGGAAAACTCAGTGGAGAGGGGTACACACTTTAATTTCCTGAAAATATAAAAAATCTCATCGAAACGGCAATTCCATGGAGTTAAAAAAAATACAGAGAACTCTTGATAAATTTATCAGAAAATTTGATTTCAGTAAATACTTCTAATATCCACGTTTCCCATGAAAACTCAATCTTCCCTTTTTTACAATAGCCACATTAAAATTAAATAAACAAAATGATCTCTGCACAATTGACAACTAAAAATCTTGTTCTGGTTCAATGAAGGAAATATGAAGAGAATAAAAAATAAATGCTGCCTTATATATGTGTAAATACCGTAAATGTACTCTCGCGCCAAACATTCACACGCACGGCTCCCCCTCTTTTTGTACAAATATGATAAACATTACTATCCATCAATCTAAGCATTAACGATAAAGATATTTGAAGCTAATTGGGGAGGATTGCTAAAAATGACAATGAGTCGCAACATGCCTCTTCATTCTTCGATTCGCTTTACCTTCGCTTTCACAACTCAACACTAAATCGACACACACACATCCAAACAAAAAAAAAACTTTATTGCGTTTCTGATTGTGTATAGGAGGTGGCATTCCGTGATCATTGTGTGAAGAAGAAAATTTAACAGAATAATATTGAAAGAGCAAAAATTTTTAAGAATGAAAGAGTATGAGATTTTACTGAATTAAACGTTTCCACGTGTTATCAATAAAAAAAATGTAAATCCATGCAAATTTTAGAGTTTTTATTTACAATGAAAGTTCATTTTTAATACTGAAGCTGCAGAATAAAATGTATGAATTGTGGAATCTGTTTTTTAGGTAAATGGCGGAATTCGAGGGGTATAAAAATAGGCATTTCCTTTTTCTTCAGGCATTTTCTACGTCAATCATGACGAATTATGGATAATCGATATAAATATCCATTTTAAACCGAAAATATAAATAGTGCATTTCCATACGACTGTGGGAAAGTGTCTTTTGGGCTCGTGAAAGGATTATAGCACGAGCCTAAGAGCATTCTTGTTGCGAGTATCAAACAATATTCGTATCAATGACCTCTATCTAGATCAATTAAACCGTATCTGTTTGAGAAAAATTTCGTGGAGGAGTGTCTCAGCGAGTTTAGCAGCCGCTGTAATTTTTGGGAGCAGCTCCGGATTGATCTGAATATAAAAGTTGTGGAAAATGTTATCGAAGTGATACGCGCAGATCCAAAAGAACGATCGAGTTTATTAAACATACATCAGTATATCACCCAAATCTCACCGGCAGTCTCTTAATACTCCTAAAATATGGAAATTTTTGTTCTTTATTTAAAAAAAATTATTCATAGTCTTCTTCGGAGCGTATCGGTGGAAATCTTCGGAGAACTTGTTGCTGTTGCTGCGGTCGTCTCTGTTGCAATGGAATATTCACTTCTTCGGGGCTTCGGAATACTTGATTGACGGGCAGACGAAATTGTGTGTAACTGTGAGGAATAGGGCGTGATGATGGCGGTAGACTATTTCCAGTTGATGAATAAGACTGCGGCTGGAGGGCTGGCCGTTTTTGGGAAATTGAAGAAGCTTGGTATTCCTCTGATTCGCGCTCATCAGTGAATATGTCTCCTGGGAAGTATCTCTCACTGTACCTCAGTGTCACATTTGGTTTTGTCTCTGCTTCCTCTTGATTCAAAGGCTTGTACAAGTACTCATTTACGAAGTGGTATTTCGAACTCTTTTTGCAATTTATATCACCACTCGGTGGCATACAAATTAAATGTACCTGCAAATTATTCAATTATTTTATTTCTCAAAATTTTTAACTATTCTTCATTAACAATACCCCATTGGAAACATTTTACGGAAAAATATTTCAAGGTTCTCTCTTTCATTTTTCATAAGATTCATTCAGAATTTATTAGATTTTCACTTGCATCCGTCAAGGAGATAAGATAAGATAAGACAAAATAATCCCAAAAATTTGAAAAATTTTTCAAGTCAACCATTTTCCATTAAATATTTTTACAGCAATAAAAAACAGTGTAAAACCCTCGAATTTAATGGACAAGAAAATAAATGGAATGATCTATATCACCTGGTGAAACGTGAACCCTTCTGGGCATATCCACGAGTGTTTTGCATTTTCGTGACAGTAATGGAAGACTTCGCAATTAAGATCCTCATCAGCATAGTAGCCAGTCTGTTTATTGATGCAGTCAAATTTGCTTTGCGGCAATAACAGGCTCAACCGATCAGGTTCATCTTTTTCCTCCTCAAGCGGTTCCACAGACTATGAAAATCATATTGAACATGCGTAAGAAAATTACTCGCCTCATTTTTCTAACGTACTGATAATAAGTGATAATTTAAAAAATACCGGTGCATTTTTATCAAACGGCCCATTCCGCGGTGGTCCCCCACGCAATCCTGAGACTATCCTGATCGTTCCATCTGATGATGATGTTGGTTTACGATAGAGCTGAAAAATAAAAGCAAATCAGACCAATACTCTACGTAGAAATTATATAAAGAGCTTTCTCCTTATTTTTTTTTAGATCACTGGCATTGATAAATTGGCGGTGGTACCGGTGTAGGTGTGACAGCATTATCTTCATAACTATCATCTCTGTAGCCATTGCTGACAGCTCCAAGGCCGGGTGTGTACAGCGGTCCAAAATTACTCGATTTTCCCGAAAATGAAACTCCTCGAGAATCGATATTGTAAGGACTCTGAGTAGCTGCGACAGTTACCCACAGAAGTAAAACTATACGATACATCTCTGAAATACAGAACATTCCATAAATCACGGACTTTCACGGGCTTCTTTATTCTTCCCGTGATATTTACTATTTGAAAAACATTTCAAGTACGTGACAAACTGCGACAGATGAAAGGGGTTTTAAATTGAATTTCTTCCATGGGAAAGTGTGCCTCGCATACAGAACCCATGCTTTTTGTCTTTTTTTTTTAGTTAATTTTTGCGTGACAGGATTTCGTATATTTCAACTTATTACGATTTCACAAGTGAATCCTTTCGAATCCAATAAAATATAGTAGATAAAACTTCGTTTACTTTATTCGATATTTTTAATGGGTCAGTTAAAAATGTTTTATTACGACATGAAAGAAAATGAGGGGATTATAATAAAATTTTATGGAAAATAAAAGTTACTTTCTGATGATTCACTCAGTGATTTGCTTCGTATTATAATAAATTAATTGGTCTGGATTGAATGGAATTTATTCCATTAGAATGTTTAATAACAATTTCTTATTGGAAATTATATATTTACTCCTTCGGAAATATTGTACCGAATCGGCTTCGATCGTTGAATTATAAATAAATGTACGCAAGATACATCTAGATTGTGAGCAAATACTTTCACTCACCAGCGAGAGCAGTTAAGGCCCACAAAAAGATACAAGTAGATCAGACCCGCGCCCAGTCTGACCAATATCATGAATAAAGTTTTGTACAGAACAATTCCAACTGCATTCCAACCAGGATTCACGGTTGATCGCACGGGATCTGCAAGAACAATAAATTACCAGAGAAATTGCTTATCGCAGTAATTGATTTTTTTACCCTGGCAAGAACCTCTCATCATCCTATCATCGATAATCCAATTTTTCCATTTGAAAAATCACATTATATTTAAAAAATTATTAACAAAATGTTTTTTCATATCCAACAATTTCTCAGACCGAATAAAAACTCTTGTTATAATCCAAGAATTTCATTAAAAAATTTCTATAACAATTTGTTAATTGTTAATTGTTTGTAGATAGTTCGTACAGTGTTATTTATATGTTGAATAAAAAAATTGAATTAATGATGATTAATAAAAATCGATATTGATGGCAGAAATGGTTGTTGGTGTTATTTTAAAATTCTGACTCGATTCCCGATTATATTCTATTCAGATGATATGCAAAAAATATCTGGCAGAATGTCACACCTATACATCATATAGCTTGAAGAAAGGCGTTGTGTAACCGCGTATGAAAGGATAAATTGCAGCGGTTTAACTGGATTGGAAACTGTAACAACCGGTCTGTCCATTTATGTTTATTTTTTCTCTTTTAAGTGTCTGTTACTTTTTATTTCTAGGGTATTCGCACTCGCAGGATTGTTTTGCAGTTGCTTGGTCAATACTCTTAAACTTTTATGCACTTCTATGTCATGAGATTTTTTAATATTACGTCAGAAGAGTAATTTTTATTTTTATGAACTGCGTAAAGTAATAAATAAAAAAGAGAATTACGGGCCATTGGACTGAGTCTAACCAGGAAGTGAATTCTTAATTTATTGATAACCGAATATTTGATTCAAGTGTCGAATTTATTTATTCGTTAATTTGGAAATTTCTGTTGAAAATTTTATGGGAGCATTAATTTTATTGATGTGATTAATTAAGAAAATTGATTGATTGTGAATGAAGGAATGAAGGAATGAAGGAATGAATGCAATCCTAAATTCCTTTATTTAAATGATTATTTATGGGTATCCTCACCTGGTAAAAGTCGTACTTCAGCTTCGTGAGGGAAAACAATTTTCCGGAGGAAATGAACAGATATTTCTAGGAGTACGCGATATTTTTCTGGCCGCGGCGCAACGACTGTCTCTTATATAGCACCTGTGGCTACCCCACGGAAAGTTTCCTCCACCAGTTTTCGAAGTCTATCATTCTCACTTTCAGCTGGATATCTCAGTAGGATAATGCCCAGGAAAAGTTTAACTATTTGACAATCTGGTTCAATAAACCGGCTCTATCGTCCAGGATTCAGCCAGAGGTTGCTGAACCAAAATTTTGATCTTTCATTAACTTTCATTCCATTTCAATTAACTCGCGGAATAACTACAAGAAAATCTCGCATATCCCTCAGAAATTTTTGATATCTACCTTAAAGGTCATTCACTCCAGAAAAATCAATGTTTTTTCTGCCAAAATTATTTCTGCAAACAATTATTTCTACAGAAATTCGTCCCTCAATTATTCCATTGCATTTGAATTATCCGTTTGAATTCCATTTTTTTTCGCAGCGAATAAGGAAATGCATTAAAGAAAATATCTAAAATTTATGCCAAACGATTTCTAAACAAAATATTCCAATAGAAAGAGGTGTGAAATCAGCCATTAATTTTTTTCATAAATGTCATGCAATAAAATATATGAAATAACGATAATAACGATTAATTTAATTAAAAAATTCATGTAAAAAGATGTTGAGATTGAAAATTGAGCAGCACCCATGTGAAACAGGGCATTGAGTAGCACGATCCAACAGCTTCAAGAAAGTTTGATCCGATTTCATGAATTTTGTCAAATTAGCGATAATTAGTGCGTTAAATATAATTCCGAACGACCAGCAAGATCGAAACGAGTATATTTCTTTCATAAATATTTCCATCCATACGTTACCACCAACAGCTTTCCCAGCACACCAGCATATGGCTTTCCATCTCAACAGTATCAGAAAATGAAAGATTACTTATATCGCAAGTATAACAAGCACCAGCGAATACTACAAATGAGAAAGTTCCGAGGTGAGCCGTTCATGACCTAATCATCGAATAAATTCAATGACTTTTCCACATGAGAATCAATAATTCAAACTCTAGAAATTAATTGACCATTCAATTGATAATTTCCAATCAAATAGAAATGCAAGATCATTCCGTGAAGTTAATGTTTTTATCGCTTCAATTTTAATGCGCTTGTAGAATAAAATCATTTCATCATTTCATCATGTCAAACTTCTCTTCGGTCCATTGATTGCATGGGGGATACATGGACCTTCAATTGTCTACTGTTTTATTAGACCCATCACTTTCACCTTGGAATTCATCGAAATGATATCCCATTTTCAGTAATAAGTGAAAGGTTTTCACGAAATCGACCGCTAAAGCATCGTGTTGTCCTTTTCATTCTATTGTCACGGTCAAGATACATTACATTATTTACTCCACTTTATTCGTTTTCCAAATTCTCAGTTGTCGAAAGCCATACCCTGTGAGGAGCCTGTGAGAAGCTCTAGTGGGTCATGTATAGATGAAGAAGAAAGTACCATTTTTTTAAAGATGAAAATATCGTCCAATAAGAATTCATATTCATTTATTTTGTATATTCTCCATCGAAATTGTTAAAGGAAGAATAATTACGCACTTGAAAATTGTGACATTTATTTGAATCTTTATTATATAATATAATATATATATATAATAATATATATATATGTAAGTGCGCATTCAACACTTTTCCATCGAAGAAAATTCGTAATCATCTTTTGTATCAGTTTTCACCCGTTTCAAATTTTTCGAGTGTTTTTTTAATTAAAATCGTTAATCTTCCTTCATGTATTCGTACTACAAGGTATCGTTCAAAAGAAGATAGATATTGAGTTCGTTTTTTCCAAGCGTGGAATTTGAAAATTAGAAAATAACGCGTCTCATTTGTCCCCGGCCCTTTTCCACTTTGGAAAAACAGGAAAAAATACAGCAAGTGGCAGGCCCATCGAGCAAAAATCCTCGTTTCCTCCGCGTTGGAAAGTGAAAAAATTCAGGTGTTACTGCTGCTGTTTTAATGGACAAGTTACTAATGAGCACGCATTCCCTCCAATGATATTCTGCATTTTCTTATCGTACGTCTTTCACTCATTCTCATTGATTCAATTAATATTAACTTATCTACTATTCATACTCATTCAAGGTACGAACAGTTTAATATTATTTGCTGCACGGATACTTCACAGATTTACAATTTATGGATTCATTGTCACTTTTCCTCTCGAGTCGATTATCTGGAATCCACGTTCGACTAAAAAACTACTAAAAAATTATTAATCCATCATAAATTTTCTTCATGTTCGCCCGAAATTTTTTCTACGATTTCATACAATGGAAAAAAAAAGAAATTCCAAAAGCAGACAGTCTTACAGACAATAGTATTTCTCCACTCGGTGCATTCATACCCTATGTACAATATACCATACCGTCAATCAGATCCTAAGCCTCACTGTCTTTTTCGTGAATTTCCCGCTACTTCACTGACTCAGAACAAAAATCACCCCTCAATAGCAACAACAGGAGGGAAAATTCACTGCAACGTGGATTACAATTACACAAATATCGATAAACTTTCATATTATTTCTTTGTTCCTGTCTCTCTCATTTACCATTTTAGAAAAAACACTATAAAATGTGGAAAGCACGTATTCAAATAAATCGGATTGAACAGCTCTCCAAGTGATCAGGGAAAAATACAGATTAAATTTTAATTTATTCTCCGTGAAAGTAATGAAAAGCCGCTGGCATGATACGCATATTATGAAAAGCACAATATTGTCTTTGGAATATAATAAAATTTGGGAGTACATTTTTTGATATGAGAAAATGGGCGGAAGAGAATATTAATTAAATTTTGAGATTAAGAAAAAAAGTGCAGCCTCCATGACCTCTTAATTGTCTAAATATTTCAATTCAATGTAAAAAAAAACTCAGTGAAATCAGTTCGCCGAGGATGAGAATGAATACGTCACTAATTTATAAACATGTATATATGTTTTTATTACTGCCAAAGAATTAGTGAATTCGAAATCATAAAACAGCATGAATTTCAATGCGTTTAGAAAAATTATTATTTTTATCTATATGCTAGGCACTTTGATTTCACATAACAGAGTACATATTCCGATCTACAATTTAGCTTACGGCCATTTCTATTTCATATCGACTGAGTTGCTACGATTACCCTAAGTATCGACTACCTCTTATTTCCTAGATAATTAGTGAGGCGAATGTACGTGTGATGTAGTACACATACTGACTGACAATAACATAACAAATTAATGATGGTATATAAAAGGAAGGTAGGGTGAAACAGCATCGATAATTTAATGAACTTTCCCCTTTGTTTTCCCTTACCGATACTCAAGTGGATTAATACGAATATTCGAATGGCATGCTCTTGGAATTGTTCTCAATTCATTTGAAAATCTGTTGGTCAGTTCTTGATGAAAGATTTGTTGGAAGAATATGAAGTCATTGATCATCCCCTCATTTCGATATTAACAATTCATTTATTATGCTCATCCGTCTCTCTCTTGCTCCTCCAATCGAAGCATAACACAAAAATTATCAATACCATTATTTTCATTATTATTAATATTATTAATATTATTAATGTTATTATTATTATTATTATTATTGTTATTATTATTATGATTTTTACTTTTATCTGTACTAAGTACGATGAATTGTTATCGCAATTAAAACAATGGAATATAAAAACTTAATTCGAGAATTTAACTTAAATCTTTAAAAAGAAAACACGAATTTTATCCATGCTATTTCCTCCAATTCGTTAAATCTATACAGAAATTTCAATTATTTTATCGGTAATTTAATAAGAAATACCTGCAATTGTGAGAAGCAGCTGTATCATTGAAATTAACTGAAATACGATACGAGTGATGGTGACGTTATTCAACTGAAACCCCAGGCGAATTAAAATCCTGATAGAAGAAATATATTCGAGTTTAACGAAATCATACCACTTGTTCATATTAGCTTCCTCGTCGGTCCACTGGCACTCATCAATTTGAAAAATGGTGTTCTGTTGGTGGTGGGATTGGTCAACACTTCTCCATAGATGCAGACATTCTGAAGATGATTGAGATATGTATTGAAAAATATTTTCCTTGGAAAGCAATAAATTTTCAAACATCACTCCACTTTCTTACATCTTGTAATTTATTAATATCGTTTAATTAATTATACTTCAAAGTATATTCCCTTGTTGAATGATTATTGAAATTTATACATGAATACTCGTATGAAAGAAAGTGACAACGGACAAAACAAAAAGGCATCTGCGCCATTTTCAAATTCCAACACTAAGAGTACCTCGATATCCCTTCCTTCCTTTTTTTCTGGTAAAAACGTGCGTTCCGAAGAGATAGATATCTATGGGGATACATAATCTGAAATTTCAGTGGATGTACCTTCCGTAATTGGCAGCAAGTGTTCATCTGTTTTACTTTACCCACACATACCTCATTCCTTTCAACTCACCAATGAACATGGTTTAGTTTATTTAATAATAGCAATAAGAATAGTAATAATGATAATGATAATAATAATAAACACTAAAGATCGACAAGACGTGCGTATCAGCCAGAATAAAAGAACCGAACGGAAAAGAGGGAGGTAAGCTTATGAATTTTTTCTCTCGGTAATTCAGGTGGTAACCTGCAGTGATGATTGTGATGCACATTCACGAAAAATTATCACTCGTTGGTTCTGGTTTCACTTTCTTCAATGGTGAATTTGATTGTGAACGGACATCTGTTACTGGTCTCTTTACTTGTGGATTACTTTTCACTACTGTTGTTGGATCTGAAAATAATTCATCAAATTCCATAACTCTGTCTTTTTTTGTTTCAATCAATTAGGAAAAATTAATTCATCAGTAAAGCGGTAAATCGCGATAAATGAACTCCAAATATTGGCCGATAAAATTTTTCAATAAAAATCTAAAAATCGAATGGCGATACACAAATTTTTCTTATAATTTTTTTCGTGAAACAAATTGAGGACTCTAAGTAATTTTATTTTAAAAAAACTCGTTAGCTCTATTAATATATAAATTCACTACGGAATTATATAGAGTGATTGAAGATTTTTGATTTCTTGTGAATTCACAAGAGGAATGGAGAATTGAACATTTGATTGGCGCTGTTTGTGGTTGTATTGAAATAGTATTGTATGAAAAATGCCGATATGAAAGTAGACATTCACCTTGAAGCCACCTGACTTGAGTAGCAGGTCCATATCCTTTATCATTTCTTGCAGCTATTCTGAATATAATAGCGGGTTTGGTGGTGACGTCCATGTGTGCTGCACTCAGCGAACTGTTTGGAACGGAACACGAGTTGGTGGCACCACAGTAGACACGAATAAAGGCCAATTGTGTTGGTGTTGTTGCTACAGTTGTTGCTTCACCGGCGTTGTTAGATACAGCACTGGCACTTCTAACCGCAAGATAAACAGAGTACTCAAGAATTGGACCAAGATTGCTCGGTGGTGGTTCCCATGACAATTGAGCGCCTTCCGCTGATTTCGAAATTTTGATGGCACTCGGTGCCCCAGGAAAACCTGGAAGGCATGTTTTGAATGCTGATACCTCACTCCAAGGACTACGACCGCAGCTATTCACCGCAGCAACTCGGAACTTATAGGCAGTGCCAGACTCTAGAGTTATTTTACTCCTCCCTTTGGATAAATCCGGGAAAAGTTGGGGCAACTCTAGAGAATCTGTATCACCACAGAGATAATAATGTTGCACTGTAAATGTCGTTGCTTTCGTCACAGCAACATTGTACCAGTCACTGTCCTGCTTCTTCTCATCGTCTGCGGCTTTCATTTTATTGACAGGCTGTTCAGCAGAGCCAAGAGCTGCTGAGGCAAGTGTCGACAAAGCAGTCGAGTCATCGCTCTCCCTCGACTCCTTCTGCACCTCATTTTTACTCTCAACGTTCTCCGCTTTCTCCGCTTTTATCTCGTATTTTATTGCTTTACTTTCAGCCTTCTCACTATCTAATTGGCCCTCCGTGACTTCTGGCTCATTAGTTGATATGACAGATCCTTTCTCGTCATCCATTGACTCCACTTGTGACTCCGTTTTTATGGGGGTTTCCACTGCTTTCGGAGATGAGTCTTTTCCTATCGAGTCTTCAATCCCGAGTTTCATTGATGATTCATCTTTACTTGACTCTTGCTCGTCAATTTCACTTGCGAGCTTTTCTAATTCCATCTGATTCTCTGAACTCTCATTTTCTTCTTTCTTCAATTCCTTTTCTTCGGATATTCTTAGGGGTTCGTCAATTTCCGGTTGTCCATCCTCATTATTCAGTGTTTCGGTGGTATTCTCCTCAGCCTCTGTTTTCGGCTTATCTTGAGAATTTTCTTCATTGATGGTGGAGTCAGCAGTCTCTGCTTCTGGTGGATCGACTTTAGCAGGATCTTCATCAGCAGTATCAGAGGCAATAGACATATCAGTCTCAGCAGGGAGATTAGATTCGTCTTTCTCACTGGAGATTTCCTCAGGAGCACTTGTCTCTTTCTCCACCTCGTCTATCTTTGTCGACTGCTGATCCTCACTAACTGTCTTCTCCTCTTCCTGCATTTCTTGTTCGCCTCCCTTTTCCTCCTCATTCTTCACGGCATCCTCATCCACCTGAGGAGCATCGTTGACTATGGCAGAATCAATGACATCAGACATATCCTGACTCTCTTCGTTTGTGTATTCACTCGTGTCAGCAGTATGTTGAATACCATCAGTTTCACTCTCCGGTAGATCCTCATCATCAGATAGCATATCTCCTGGACCATCCACCTGGGGTATGATAAAATTGCCATCATTATCAACTTGCATAGCTTCACCACTTGTCAACTGTGATACAAGGTTCGCCGTGCTCTGTTCATTGCCATTACAACTGTCCTCAGTTTTAGTCTCGGCGTCAGCATCATCAGCCACCATGAAATTAAGTTCCGGTGATTCCTGAACAGGATCAGTGAGCCCCGCTTCTGCTGCAAGAGCAGCTAGTGCTGCATCTGTCGTGGCTGGTCCATCGGAAGTTGATGTTAGAGAAGCCGAGGGCTGTTTTTGAGGTACAAAAAGCATTTTGCTAGTGTCAATCGATTCCGATCCAGACGTACTAGTCATTGTCACAATGGAACTGCTTGTGGGCATGAGAGTCACAGTCTTTCCAAGTCCCCCAGCCATCTGGAGTGTCAGTGGTTTTCCGTCCTGGGCTTTCTGTATTTGCGGCACAGTGACAATCTGGCTTTTCGATGGATTAAAAATAGCCTGCTGGCTTCCCTTCGTCGCTATTGTAACTGTTTTGGGGATACCACCATGTCCTGGTACCGTTATCGTTATTGGTTTACCACTCACACCTCCACCCATAGCCCCTGACGACACAACAATCATTTTGACACCCTGCTGATTAGTTACGTGATTAGCAGCTGATATTGGAAGAACATTGACTGGTGTTGTTATTGTTCCTCCTTGTCCAGCCTGAGAAGTCGTCACAGCCTGCACTGCCCTCAAGCCAGATCCCGTTGTCACAACGATTATTTGATTCGCCCTACCAACTAGACCCCCATTGCCCCCTGGTTTTGTTATCATAATTGTTTGCTTTCCAGCGATTCCCTGTCCCTTGCTCATCGTCACTAAATTCGAAGTTTTCATAGTCGTGAGAATCTTCGAGCCTGCCACTGTATTGGGATTGACAAGTCGTAAAATCGTCGGTCCTTGATTCAGAGGTTTTCCACCAGCTGTCTGTACTGTTTTACCTGGTATCAAACTAACTTTCGGTACAGCCACCATACCCTGGCCTGTCTTGAGTACGTGGACAATCTGAGGCTGACCACTTATATTCTGGCCAGGCTTCTGGAGAATTATCTGTTTGCTCTGCTGTGGGGATGAGGCCCGGAGGACAGTAGCACCTGGAGTTGCAAACCGAATTTGCTGTCCGGGTTGGACGGCCTTGACGCGGACGGTGTTGGTGGCTGTTTGCGTGACAACATTACCGCTCGGCACATTGTTCATTGTGATTTTTGGAGTTGCAGCTGCAGCTGCTGCCAATGCAGCAATTCCAGACATAGCTGTCGCCGATTGACCAGTTTTGTTGACAGTTATTGCTTGGTTACCTGCAGAAATTTGTTCAGTTACTGAGGCAACTGATGTTGTTGAAGTAATGAGAGGGGAGCGTATCCTGATGACATTCCCAGTGCCACTACGTGGTAGCATTGGACTGGTGGATTTGATCACTGCTGATGTTGATATTGCTCTTTGGGCGGCATTCTGGATGGTCGTTTGGATCCGCATGGGACTCTGGGGGACACTCGGGCGTACAACAGTTGGGGTAGCACTCATTGGAGAAAGGCTCATTCCAACTGCACTCGATACAACTATCGGTGCAGGTACGCTAGGAGATGATTGAACTATTGAAACTGGAGCCGTTGCAATTTGCTTTATTAGAGTTGTTGGGGTTGGTATTGGTACTGTTGATATTGGTGGTGTTGGAGGTGTTGGTGAAGCTATAGAGTTGGGAGCTGCAACTGCTGGGAAGGAGCTTGTTGCCGGTGGCATATCGTACTTCTGAATTTGGAGGACGTAGTACTGGGCGGAGGGAGTCGCTGTCCAACTGACTTCCAGCGAGTTTGTCGAAGCTCTGACCAACTGCACTCTTGAAGGTGCTGGGGGCTTGCTCACTTCCAAATACCAGAGGTCCTTACAGCACACCTGAAAGCACGTTTTAGAGGATTAGTTTGATTAAGATGGAAAAATTACAGAAGGCATCTTACTGCCTTCGTTACAAAAATAAACTAACCCTAACCTGGTTGTTCCATGCTTTGCGATAACCATCTCGTCCAGACCATACATACAGCCTATTGTGAATGCCTACCGCACAATGACCAGCACGGGCTCGAGGAATGTTCTCCTCTAAAGAATCTACTTGGAGTTGTTCCCATGTCAGTGTCTCTGAAATAATCAAGTGTTGGATTAAAAAATTGGTTGTATTATTCAACAATCTAGAGCTAATTCTTTAAAACAACTTCTTTACAATTGAAAATGTGTGAAATAATTTACCCAAATTGAGACAGGCAAGTGTGCTTGTACATTTCCACTCTTTCTCGTGCGTTGCAACCTTGACGTCGTCCACAACAAGAGGCACCCATCCACCAAAAACATACATCCGGTGGTTAATAAGTGTGGCTGTGTGCAGAGAACGGGGTAGAGGAGTTGGCCCATGTATCACAGGCTTGTTCCATGTCATAGAATCAACGTCAAGGAACCACAAATCCCCGAGACGACATCCACTCATACCACCGTAGATAACAAGGCATGATTTACCAGTGGTGCGATCAGTATAAGCGACTCCTGTATGAGATTCCCGGGGTGGTGGAGCAGGTCCATGTGTCTGTGGCACTTCCCATCCAGTTTGGCCATTGGGAAGTAGCTCCAAAGTGTACAGATCGTTCAAATATCGTGGGATATTGTTCTTGGGATCATCACTGTCGTTGGCCAAGCCTCCAAACAAGAAGACTTTGTTGCCAATTAGTGTGAAACTGTGCCCCAGTCTTGGGCATGGTGGCTGACCATTTTTCGGTGGCTTTGGTTTCAGCCTTTTCCATTCCCACCTACTCGCTTGAAGTTCGTACAATTCATTCGAGTACTTTCCGTACTCTACCATCCCACCGAATACGAGAATTCTCGTTCCATCTACTACGAAACCGTAGGCGGCGCATCCTGGGGGAATGTCGCCTTTGGTTGATGGTACAAACCATTGATTGGACGCTGGAAAATATCAAGATGAGTAATAAAAAATTGAATGTATGGTTATGGAAATATTATAGAAATGGTTGAAATTTCAATACTAAATGTCTGCCAAAGTTTGGATTTTTTAAAACGGCTTTCGGATCTTTATACGCGTGAGTATGAAAATCGAGGTATTTCAGTATTTACTAAAATTGAAAAATTCAAAATTTTTGAAAAATTATCAGGGGAGCATGAGAATCGAGGAGGTATTGACTGAAATTTGAAAATTCGAAATTTTCAAATTTCAGTGAATTTGAGATTCGCAGAAAATGGCTAAACATTCTGAATTCTCTCTTATAAAATTTGGCGGGTAGGTAAAAGAATGGCGCACGCGACAACAAGAGCTTGAAGTAAGTCGCCGAAGATAGGCGGCGGCATAAATCGGCAAACGGCGGAATCAGATAAGAAAATAGACTGAAAACGTAAACGCAATGACGATCCATGTTTTGCAGTGGGGGTGGTGAGCATCAATGGCTGCTCCCGCGCATATAAACGGAAAAAATGTCATATCTCCAAATGTTGCTGTTTCGCAAAGTGATTGAACGTATTTTCATGGGCGAAACAAATATGTATGAATTTTTAAAAAAATGTACTCCGAGGAATGGAGAATAAAAATGATGAGTTGAACATAAACAGTAGGAAAACCAGTAACAAATTATCCGGCCGGTGAGGATCATGTCAGTGCGTGCCGCCATATTGAATCGCGGGAAACAGCGCGCATTGGGAAGTTGATAGGACGCAACAACAGGCACTTTATGAGTGTCGCACATAATATGGAATAAGAGTCACCTGTATTGTAAACATGAAGTTCATCAACTATTCCCTCATTGCCACCACCAAATACAACCATAAGATCCTTGATGGCAACAGCCCGATGTCCATGTCGGGGCCTTGGCTGGGGTCCGGTTGGATTTGTGATTCGTTTCCACTTTAACATGGGTGCCGCCATGATGACCGTCGATCACATCATTTTTTCATGCCCACCGTATTACCCTATGAGCAAATTACTCTCAAGTCTGAATATCTAAAGTCCCCGATTAAAATTCGTAATCTCCCCTCAAATATTTTATATTTTTACTATTCGTTAATTGTTAAAAGACACCAAATCTACAGAAACCTATCTATTTATATGTATATGTATATATATATATATATGTATCCCAATCTATCTATCTATTTATATGAAATATTTATTCTATGGCTGCGTCATAAGTTGATGTGACCACAAATAAAGTTTTTCAAATCCAATGTTGGGATGATAAACACTCGTGATGAGATGGTCTTGTTGAAAAACCTACACTAAGTCTTGTCACTTTATACACACGAACTTGAAGTATACCATCTAGATAGTCTCCCTTTGTAAGTCGGACTAACCTCCCGGCGTTTCGAGCTAGCTGGTGATATTCGTTTCTTCCTGTTAGTCACTTGAGAGGATATGAAAAATATTGCTATTCAAAGCACAAGTGAATCCTTGAAATATACACACTTTATATCATAAACATGGCTTTTATCAGGTTCTATTACCTCTTTGCCACTGCGATATTTTTCAGAGCGTGAAAAGTCCGCGCGCGACTTTTTCTACAATAAACGCAACCATGGACACTCACCGCGGCTGTCCCCTAACCCACAATATTGTTTCGACTTTTTCCGCTACGCGGGTGCTGAACTCCTACAGCATGTACTACATCACCAACTCCTATGCTATAGTATCGTATTTGATCCAATGGAACTGTTGACAATCGCCTTGTGCTCTATCTCTTCCTCTCTCTCTTGTTTTCGAGCTGCAACTGTGCACTAAATTCCTTGCTGTTTGGTAACACTGATTCGACTTGGATGTTTTATATCTCTCTCCGTCCACCTTTCTATCATCTATTGTCATTAATCAGGTCCTCTTTTTATATTTCAAAAACTTGCATCACCTGATAATTATGACCGGTGATCCCTCAATCTTGCCACATTTATTTTCAAATTAGATCACGCAATCTGGTGCTCTCTCCAGTCCATGTTAAAGAATTTAAACAAGTCACTGATAAATTCATGTTTGCAGGTTATAGTTGTCCGAGTTACACTCGATTCCACTGATAATGAGGAATTTTCCCGAGGGAAATTGTCTTGTGTTGTTGATGCAAACGGTCAATAGTGTTTTTCAGTTTTTATAGTAGTCATAGCACAGAAACAAAATTTGGAGCGAGTAATAGAAAAGTAATGCACAGTATGCCGAGTATTGGCGCGCGTCGGTTGTTGATTACTTTGAAGTTGGCAACAGAAAATCTTCCAACCTTACAAACTCATATAAATAATGCTGCTGTTAGTAATACTTGTTTAGAATTGCTGGTGGAAAAATGAGAGATAAATTACGATGCGCTTTCAGTTCAATGCGATTACAATGATAATGCAATGTCTCTATAGAATTAGGAACGATAAAAACGGTGAAAATAGGAAGTCAAGTGTGAAAAAATTATCACTAACGTCTTCGACTGTTTACTGGCCCTTTTTGCCCCATGGGTGTGCTGTGCAGAAAACGCTGTGACCCCAGCGGCATTGTAGTACCGCATTCCAAAAGAGGGAGGGCGCAACACGTAATGCTGGGGTGTCCAAGTCGACGGGGTGAATTTTCTTTTCTGCGGCATGAATGCTCTTTGTTTTTTATTTGTTCAACTCAAATTTAACTTACTGTAAAATGAGCGGAAGGGGGAAGCCACATCTTGTGGAATTTCAAATGAAAAAAATTATTCATATGTTGAAGATATACTACTAATGAAAATATATTTTTATAATAATAGCGCGTTGTTGCAATGGTAACGTGCTTGGCTGGCACGCCGACGGCTAGGGTTCGATCCTAGCCACCATTCATTTTTTTATTTTATAATAATTCCAATTTTTTTTTTTTGTTAATGGCTAATCAATGGAAATATTGTTTAAAAACTGAATTTTTGAAAATCGAGAAGATATCCTGTTAAATTCAGAAATTTGCAATTTTTGAAAACAATATTTTTTCAAAATATATACTCCTAATGAAATTATTTTTCATAATAATCGCGTTGTCTCATTGGTAACGTGCTCGGCTGGCACGCCGACGGCTAGGGTTCGATTCCCAGCCATCAATCTTTTTTTTTTTTTACATAATAATCAATCGAAATATCCCTCTGCAAAAGTATAAGTATAGAAATTGAAAAATCGTAAATTTTTGAAAAAGTATCAGGGTAACATGAACATCGAAGAGCTATTCACTGAAATTTTCACTGACAGTGAAAAATTCGAAATTTTTCTAAAAGTATCAGGGGAACATGAGAATCGAGGAGCTCTTCACTGAGATTTCCACTGAAAGTGAAAAATTCGAAATTTTTGTAAAAGTATCAGGGGAACATGACAATCGAGGAGCTCTTCACTGAAATTTTCACTGAAAGTGAAAAA